TGGTATATGATCAACCTGTTCCAGCTCTAAATCACGCTGAAGGCTGAGAGTTTCACGTKTTTTTCTTTTGAAGAGTGAAAAAGCTGAAAGTTACAGGAAAAGCAGAAAGTTACAGGGGAAAAAAACAGCAAATTAATCTATTTCTGCACTTGTATGACCTTTTTCCTGGAGATGCTTCACGTCTGCATGTTAATTAATTAACTCTCGTATCCCCACGTGAGCCAAACAGTGTTTTCTACCTCCCTTACGCACAGAGAGACACGGCCGGGTGAAGTCACCTGCTTAAAGGTCAGACAGGGAGTCAGCAGGAGAAGCAGCGACAGGCTCCCGAAATCTCACCTCCTGGACCGAGCGAGGCGTGAAAACAGACCAAATTGGGCTGTTAGCGAGCAAGGCTTAACACCTGTAATCACCGCGTTGAACCAAACCCAAGCCCCAAACTGGTCTGAACAGGTATCTTTTTCACTGAAACCAGAACAACCTGAAGTGTTATTTTGTAGTTTTGTTGAAGTCACCCTGGAACCAAACCAATTTATTGAATTAATTCCCTGCTCATTGTGCTGGTAACTCCTCCTACGGTGTATCATTAGTARCCAACGGGGAAAGAGGGATGAGAGAACAAATCAGAACAAAAATGCTCCTTGAAGCTGAGCTTTTACCCTACGATAAAGGCAGGCAGACTTTCCTCCACTTTGGCACTAATATCATGCAAAAGTGGTGTGTGTATTATGACAATGAGCATCAGTATTTTAAAAGGGATATGCAAAAACATCATTATCTTTTACCCACAAGCTATAAATTCCTGCTGTTCTCCTCTAAGTGGGACCCTGACTATCATCTTATTGCCACTGACACGCAGGAGGAAGCATCAACCTGTCAACGGTCTAAACTTGGGATTACTGACTTGCTAAAACAGGGTTAATTATTAAGCCTGTCTTCAGAAAAAGACAAAATAATTTCTCAAAAATAAGAAATTAAAGCCATTTCTCCAAGAACAAGCCCCATTCTCCCTTATGTTTACCAGACACAAATGCCAGTCATACTTGGTATTCCTCGCAGTTGTGAGGCAGGCAGTGGGAGAAGCATTGCAATCGGATCCCAGGCAGATTCTTAAAAGGGAATTCGGCTCCTTCGCTAAATACCAGCGACCCTATTTGGGCCAGGATCAACAGCTGGGACTCRAGGGGCGAGTTCCTTGCCTGTGCTCAGCATGGTGAGGACCTGCTGCCCTCCCTGTCCTGCCACCACAGCTGCTGTCCATGCGTCCGCAAGCTGCACCAAGCCTCCTTGCACCCTGCATGTGATCCCAGCTGCCTCCCAGCACCTTTCAGCTCCACGGAAGGGCTTCTCCAGGTCAGGAGGATGTTAACCTTTCCCGGCCTGTTGGAGGAGCAAATTTTGTCCTCAGTACTGCTAGGCTTCCTGCTTTTTCAGAGGAGACTTCATACCCTCACCTAGCTCCTGGCWGTTTGCAAGCCCTGGTGAAAGTACCTGGTGAGGAATGGTTATGGAAGTGCCTTAAACCGGAGCAATCAGCACCGTCCRCTAAGTGCAGCCGTGTGCTGCTTGCACAGGAGACAGCAGCTCTTCAGCCACACCACCGGTGCCAGTAGCCACAGTGTCATCCAGACCCTGGCACATGAGGCACCAGCCAGCAGCAGGGACCAGCCTCCCAGCCCGCTCGGCAGGTCTGGACAAGTCCCACCCAGGGACTGCAATGTTGCAAGCCTAGTTTATCACCTACGGGAGACAGAAAATGGCATGCCTCAATAATAAAGAATTCACTCTTGCTTAACCACCTGCCCGCAAATCATCCCRGACAATGGCTGAAACATCTACATCCCTGCATAAATTCCCATCCTGCACGTGCTCCAGCTGCAGATGGAGAAGGGTCGGAAGCGGGCAAGCAGAGAATGGACATGGCTCATCTCAGCTTGCCCCACAAGGGACCAGCCGCCCCAGTCGCCCCTGCAGGGCCAGAGCAGTGGGAGGGAACGGGAGCAGGGCTCCGTGCATCATTTAGCTGTCATCTAGATAAGAGCAATTTCCACCACCACCTCAGGACCGTTGTTAAGCGTATCTGACACATCACAGCTCATTCCCATTCAGATGCCTCCTCAACCAGTTCAAATATAGAAGCTGCCTTTCATTAGCCCCAGCCTATTACTCATTTCAGTTCCCCTCCAGTTGGAGACCTCGCTGCCGAGCCGGCGCTGCCTTCGCGCACCGCGTGCTAACCRTGAGACCCTTGGCAAGCCCAAGTTTCCCAAATTCCCCACACCAATTTCTGCAGCATCAATAGCATGTGTTCTTGTAGCATTCACTGGAAATGTGGTCAGAAAGGGTGAGGCTGCGTGGGATTCAAAGATGCAGCAAACCCACAAAATCGATTCCAAAGAATTTACGTGTAAAAATGAGCTGAGCTGTGTTCCGTAGGATTTAAAAATGAATTCTATTATTTGAGAAGAGTGTTTACATTTACAGGCAAACCCCAAATTGTTGATTGTTTGGCTTTTCCGKGAGCCAAATAATGGATGTTTTCCAGATTTTTTCTACGTTTGATTAGAATGGAAAGACCTTTTCCACCTTCAGCTATGCTGAACAAAATGATAAAAAGGGGRACAACAGCTGAACGCTTCTATAGTTAGCAAGAAGTGTAACACAACAGGCTGACAAATTTTAGATTACAGAAGAAAAAAAGAAAAATTACTACAGTCTCTGGGACAGGGGAGAGAAATTCCCTTCTTACTGAAAATGAGAGTGTAGGTTCATTGCTCYGTCTAACAGCGTGAGAGAGCGGTGCATTTTAGATATGTTTTTCAATAGAGAAAAGACTTCATTCTGATTGATTATATTTGAGTGACTCTAAGTAACCAAGACATTTATAAACAGGACTTCATCCAGCCCTTAGGAAAAACTTTATTATTTTCAAAACAACCCATCCAAAAAAAGTTCTAAATTTGCCTCTCTCTATAATAACTTTTGGATAATGAAAGACAAACAATACAACTAAGATCAATATGAGCAACCACATAAAAAATTACTGATTCATGTCCAGCTTGACAAAATATATGCTTATAAATTAAAAATGGAAACATCCAACATTTTTCACGTTGCCTTATGTTAACAGCCTCTTTCAACTATCATTACTCTGTAAAAACTGAACACGGCTGAATTTGCAGAAGAGACATTTTTCAGCATCTTTCAGCACATKAGCAAATAGTGTTCAAGTGTCCTGCGTGTATTTTGCCTTGCGTAATTTGACAAATGTTTGCAAATGAGCTATCCACAGTAAAGCAATGCTTTGTAGACAGCTTCCACCTGGCAAGACASGGCTGAGACTTCCAAGGCCATTCGAACAACGTTGGAGCTGGGAGGTCTCTATAAATCAGGTCTTAAGTTTTTCCATCAAAGTTTTCCTCTTCCTCAAGAATTTTCATAAAAGCACCACTAGGATCCCTTTAATGCGAGAACTGCAGCACAGCTGATGTCATCCCTTTTTTTAAATTCACATGTGTAAGGCTGAGCATGTGAAGGCTGCTCAGGAAAGACTGTTCTAGCAATAGGCAGAGAGGCTGAGCCAACCTCAGCCTTCTGCAAAGGAGCTCGCAGCAGCAGCATCCCACTTCTCAGCAGGTTCAGCTATTTTTTCCTTTGGGAAGTACCAGCCTTACCAAAGCGTCCTCCCCTGACCCAGGGATATTTCCACTGCCCTCTCAGCTCGTTGCATGTGAGCCTCGATGTTGCCTCTGGGCTGAAAAGCCTGCAGACAAAATGAATTTCCTCCAAGGTCACGCACTCCTTTCAATGCCTTTATTTGCCCGTTTGTGAGGTATTAAATAAACTGCAAACTTACAGTGAAAAGAGGTAATTTCCCATATGAATGTAATAGTGAGATGAGATGCATAAGCTTTCAGCTAGAAATCTAATCACAGGTTCATAGCCAAACCACAAGTCTAGAGGCTTTCTTTTATGCCTTSAAAGTCCTAAGCACCCTCTCTCTTTGCAAAGACAATATATGGCACATCCAAATGCAAATCTATTCCTCTCTTTATTTCTATATTCAGCTCTCCGGCTGATTACAGGGAGGCATGTGCATGTGTTCAATAGGACCTCCTGCTTCTTTAAATAAGTTTAATAATACCCTTTTCATTTATAGGAGCCCAAGATACAAAGGATGCAACACAGGAACTCTGCGAGAGGAGAAAAGAAAGCAAAAGCAAAGTAGCTGAAGATACAGGCGGGCAGGGGCTCTGTAATTCAATACTGTTCATTCTATAGAGACCAAGGGCTTTTATTCTGCACCGAGCCTTTGAGGAGGAAAAAGGGCCAGGGCTCCGAACTTGAACAGACTCAGCCCATCTCGCGTGCGAGGGCAGCGTGCTCCAGAACGGCAGTGTGAAAGCACGGCACCCTTCCCCAATATTCCAGCCCTGCTTTCAAAGAGTTTGTCCTCCAGCAACTCTAACAACTAACGCCTCGCTGCACAGCTGCATGAAAATCCTTAAAAAAAAAAAATAAAAATAAAAATAAAGAAAGAAAAAGAAAAAGAAAAAGAAAAAGAAAAAGAAAAAGAAAAAGAAAAAGAAAAAGAAAAAGAAAAAGAAAAAGAAAAAGAAAAAGA